TATATATATATATATATATATATATATATATAACCTTTAGTGCAGAATAGCGAGCTATTTGGTCAAAGAAAACAAAATTTGAAACTATAAAAGTCACACAACAACTTTTTTGTGCAACGATCAGAAGAAATAGCAACGGACAACAGCAACACCATTGACAGCAGAAACAACAACAAAAACTACAATAGTTTGTAGAAGAAAAAATGAAACTTTTAAAAGTCACTAAAACTGCGCTACTACGTTAGTTTATATATGTGTACTTCCATTTACAATTTTTATATAATCAGCAACAAGTGTGCAAAATCGTCTAATAAGACAATATTCAGTGGAAATTGTTTACACTATCAACAATTACAGTTAACCGACGATAGTTATTTGGGAAAAAAAAAAGCAAAACAGCGAATAAGTAAGCAACCGATTAAGCGATTAAGCAAGTAAGCAAGCAACAACTAGAACAGCAAGCTTAAGCTATTGTAGAAAACTCAAGACCAAATTGATGGTTTAGCTGCGCTTATACATCGTAGTTTAATCAGTCAGCTGTAAAACAATTTTTTTTTTTTTTTTGTAGCTGCCGTTTGTTGTTATTTCCTAAAGATTTACTTCCAAACCAGCATCAGAATTTAGTTGGTCAAATCCAAAAATAAGAAAAAAAAAAAAAAAAAGAGTCCTATGTTTGGCATCTTAGCCTACATAAAATCATCTAACGTTGTCCTGTTTTTTTTTTTTTTCTTTTTCTGATGGCACAAAGAAGATAAAAAAGACTGGAATTGCAAAAAAAAAAAAAAAAAAGCCACTAAATTTATATTAGTTTTTATCGGCTTCTATCAACTTCTTAATGCTTTTGACATCAGCTAAATGCAACAGCTACAACAAACTGTTGTTAAAAACTTAGTCCATAGAGTTATAAAAAATGGATACTGCAGCAGCGAATTAATTGTATCAAAGAACCAGTAAGTTCGATTAAAGTTGTTGAGATACACTGAACAAAAAAACAATTTTATTTTGCATCTCATATAAGGTCAAAAAAATTGAATTGCAGTATTTCAAACCTGATAAACCATAACAACACTATTCAGACAACAAAAACAACAACTTAATAAGCTGCCATTAAAGCACTAAAAGAGATGTAGACATGAGATTTTTTTTTTTTTTTTCAGAAAACCAAAGTTGTTGAGAGTACAATCGACGGCTGCCTGAATTGTTCTTTTTTCCTCCTTTCATTTTTTTTTTTACTTCTAATATGATTCCGCTGCAGTTTCCTACTGATAAGGTATATGTTTAAGTGCAAACTTTGCAGCTAAAATAACGTATATTTCAATAAGCTCTTATACATTTTATGTATTCATAAGGCTTCACAATTTCTGTCCAAAAACAAGTGACCAAAATGTGCAATGATGGCTCCAGTTTAATGCTATCATTACAACTTCTTTGTTTTTTTTTTTGAAACTTTTTAACCATAATAATTACTATTATTGTACAACAGGTAACAGTATGCATTGTATATGTTGAAAGAAGAGAAAAAAAAAAAAAGCTTTCAAAAATTTAAAAGTAATAATTTTAACATTAATTATTATTTAACAGTGAAATAGCTGTGTTTTTCACTGTCAATATTTGCTATTTAAAAATTCACTTAAACTTATATTGCGAACTAACAGAAC